ACAGCATGTCCGAGAGCATCATGAGACGAGCCAAACAAAAATGGGCATCAAAGGATTACGGCTTCAAGCTCCAACTACACACGAATGACCGATTCACCAACCTTCGCTTCGCGGACGACATCCTCCTACTTACGGGGTCACTGAACCACCTGACACATATGCTAACCGACCTCATCACTGAAGCAGGCAAAACGGGCCTAGAACTTCATCCTGATAAAACGAAGATCATGCACAACGGGCACAAGTCACGACGCAGCACACGTACACCCGACAGCGTACATGTGCTCGGCATGAAGATTGATGTATTGCCACCATACCGCAGCACGAAATACCTCGGACGGCTGCTACAGCACACTACGCCTCACGCGACGGGAATCGAAAACCGCATTTCCACAGCATGGCGGAAGTTTCACATGTTGAAACAAGAACTTACTGGACCAACGTACTCACAGTAAGACCGACTTCGCCTCTTTCACGGAACCATCACACCGACTATCTTGTACGGCAGCGAAGCTTGGACGCTCACGGCCGACTTAGCGAACCGACTCCGGCGAACGCAGCGACAAATGCTTCGCATGATTGTGCGAGTACTACGGCGCACCTCCGCAAGCTCCTCTCCCAAAGCATCACAGCAAGCACTCGAGCATTTGACCAACGACCAGCACGACACCACCAACCAGAACTCCGACGAAGAGGACGACCACGGATGTGTCGTCGACAGTAACCCGCCAGATCCCACGCCGAATATTCATGATGATGACGATGAAGCGAACGCTGTTGTTTTGGAGCCATGGGTCGATTGGATCAAGCGGGCCACACACAAGGCTGAATCAGCAATCGCAAGATTAAGAATCGATGATTGGGTCTCGACAGTACGGCAGAGGAAATGGCAGTGGGTACGGAAGTTGAGTGCAACGGAGGAACTGGAATGGATGCGACAAGTCATTAAATGGACTCCACAACATTACCCAGTATTTAATGCCAGACGCAGGACGGGAAGACCAACAACTAGATGGATCGATGACGTCAGAGATCATGTCGAAGATACGTTGGAATGTGGCGACATGAGTATTTCAGCGATTCTTGATCTTGCATCAAATGGTTCTTGGCAGGATATTGGAGCGCAGTTTACTCAACACCACATGTGAATTTCTGACCGGGCCTCGTTTTCTTCGTCGTCGTCCTCCTCCTCCTCCTCCGCTGTTTTTTTCCTTTGCCGTAATGGCCGGCGCTCCGGCGCCACACCCGCAGCACCCTAGTTTGGTGCCAATGCGCGGGCTGTCCTGTCCTGTCCTGTCCTGTCCTGTCCCCCCCCCCTCCCCTTGAGCAGTCTTGTTCCCAAGATCCGTCGGGGTCCTGGTTTCCCCCCAGACCCCCTCCAGTCGCGAGAAAATCACGACGGAGGGTTTTTCCTGTTTTCCGCTTCGGGGGGCCCTTACCGGGCCTCGGGGCCGTCAAGCAGCGACTCTGAATGAGGAACAAGGGTTCCAGACCTCCGTGACCCACGCATCGAAAAAATTGAAGCGGCTGGATGTCGGGGTAAGGGTCGCTTCCTCTCTCATTCTGTCTCCTCCTCCTCCTCCTCCTCCTCCTCCTCCTCCTCCTCCTCCTCCTCCTCCCCCACCTCCTTCTCCCTTTCATCCGCCTCCTCTTCCTCTCGCTCTTCCTTCTCCGCCTCCTTCTCCCCTTTCTCCTCCTCCTCCTTCTCCCCGTTCTCCTCCGCCTCCTCCTCCTCCCCCACTTCCCTCCTCCTCCTCTCCTCCTCCTCCTCCTCCTCCTCCTCCTCCTCCTCCACCACCTCTTCCTCCTCCTGGCCCTCCCCCCTCTTCTTCCTCCTCCTCCTCTCCTCCTCCTACTCCTCCTCCTCCTCCTCCTCCTCCTCCTTCTCCTCCTCCTCCTCCTCCTCCTCCTCCTCCTCCTCCTCCTCCTCCTCCCCCTCCTCCTCTTCCTCCTTCCCTTCCTCTGCCTCCCCCCGCCCCGATCAGCGGCGGCCCTCTTCCCCGGGGGCCCGCCGCGCGCCATGCCCGCGGCCGTCGGCGTCGGGAGGCGGCTCCGGACCCGGGGCGCGCGGAGCGGGCGCGGCGGGCGGCTCGGCAGCCTGCGAGGGCTCGGAGGGAGGAGAGGCGGGGGCTGGGACGAGCTGGGTGCGCGCGCGCTAAGATGTTCGGACGTTGAAAGACCTCCTGCCCTGACTTTTTAGGTCTGCGGGTCGGGAGCGAGCCTCTTCCGATCCAGGGCTAGGCGGGCCGCGCAGAGCACTAATTGGGGAGACTGGGCGCGGGCGGGCGGGGCCTCAGGCGGCCGGAGGGCGCGGGGTGCAGGCGGTGCTCAAGAGCTTGCACAGGAAAGGTACACCTTGGACAGGAGCCGGAGGCGAAGACCAACCTCCTACCCTGACACGTCGATTAGTGAATTGGCCGTTTTCGGTTCGCGAGAGGGCGTCGCGGCCGTTATTTTCGCGGGTCCAGGTCCGTCGGTTTCGGCTTCAGGCCGTTTTCACTAAAGGGTGGTTTACTAAAGTGAGGTTCGTCCACCGCCGAATGGTGCAATGGTTTTTGCTTGCTTGTTTTCTCTTGTGTCGTTCTCATGGCCGACTTTTTTTCTGCTTTGGTGTCGGGATGCATAGCGTGTTTGTGCATAGTACGCGTGCGTGTTGTAGGGGGGGCAGTACTTGTTGCCCCCATGTCTGTTGCAGCATGCGCTTCTTCGTAAACATTTTGGCTCAAGGAGCCCCTCTCTCAGCGCAGGGAAAATAATCCTTCGCGACATGGTAGCAGGAGCGTAGGTTCGGGAGCCGCCGGACCTTGGGGACTGCGGGTTGCTCCGCGCCCCTTTCCCTCTCCTCCTGCGCCCGAGTGCTGCGGGAAGCCCCGCGCCTCGGTGCATGCCCAGTTCTGGGCATCGCGGGCAGCGGCGATCAGAAGCCGCTCGGTTGAAGCGCGCCGAGCGCGGCGCGCGCCTGCGCCGAGCAGGCCGGCAGCTAGGAGCGAGGAGACATGGAGGAGATGCAGAGAGCCATGCAGCAGCTGAGCCTCAGGCTCCAGCAGCAGGAGCGAGAGATGAAGCAGCTGCAGGAGGACAGGCAGAGGATGCAGGAAGAGCTGGAGCGTTCGCGGGAGGCACCGCAGCGCCATGGAGGACAGCAGCCGCACTCCGTGGTCGACACGCGCGTGCTCAGCAAGCCCGAGAGCTACGCTGGCGATCCGTCGAGGTTCGCGGATTGGAGCTTCAAGATGCGCGCGTACCTCGGGGCGGTGGACGAGCGCTACCAGCATCTCATCGAGAAGACGGAGATGGCGACGGAGCCGCTGAAGAACGCGACGATGGAGCCAGACGAGGCGCGGCTCAGCACCCAGTTGTACTACATCCTCGTGCTGACGACGTCGGGGCCAGCGTTGACCAAGTGCCACAACGCTGGAGTCAACGAAGGCTTCGAAGCGTGGCGGCAGTTCGTACTCGAGTGGGAGCCGCGTATTCGGACAAGATTCGTGGGCCTGCTGATGCAGCTGATGTCGTACCGGTTTCGCGACGACATTCCGAGCGCATTGGCGGCATTCGAGCGGCTCGTGCACGACTACGAGTCCCAGAGCCAGAAGACGGTCGACGACGACACCAAGATCGGCGTGGCGCTGTTGGGGATGGAGAACGAGCGCGTGAAGGAGCACCTGATTCGAAACAGCAGCAGGATCACGACGTGGCAGCACGTGAGGGACGAGATCTTGGAGATCACGAGGACGCAGCAGTACATCGACTCGCAGCCCGCGCCGATGCAGCTCGGGGCGACGCCCTGGAATGCCGGAAAGCCCAAAGGCGGCAAGAGCAAGGAAGGCAAAGGCAAGGAAGGCAAGGGGAAGGACTCAAAAGGAAAAGGCAGCAAGGCCAAGAAGGGCGCCGAGGAGGCGTCGAACGCGAACAGGGACAAGGTGTGCTTCTACTGCAAGAAGACGGGGCACGTCAAGGCGGAGTGCCGGAAGAGGCAAAAGGACCTCGCGGCAGCAGAGGGCTCAAGGAGGCCATTGCACGCGACGCCAGGCGCGGATGCTCATCCGTCGTCGGCGGCGTCCGCAAACGCGGTCCCTCCGCAGCCTCCGCCTCATCTGGCAGCTCTGGTGAGGGACGGCCACGCGGACACGTTCATTTTGGCACTGCCCGAAGCGGTCGCGGGAAGCTCCGCACCGAGGAGAAGCGCGGATCCGTGTGGCGCCCTGCCAGCAGCGTCGAGGAGCGCACGAGGACGAGCGAGGTCAGCCAGCGCGAGGCTGAGGTCGGACGCGGGAGGCCCCGCTCCGAGGGCAGACACGACTCCAGTTGGCGCTCTGCCAGCGACGCCTCAATACCTCATGATCGACACCTGCGCAGGCGCGAGCGTGTTCCCGAAGGGGTTCGACCCGAACGCCGAGCCCGACGCGAGCGTGCGACCAGTCAAGCTTGCGACGGCTACGAACGACCCCGTGCACGGGGCGAGCGGGAAGCGATCGAGGTTCGAGCTGGAAGGCGGGCGACAGGTGAGCGTGAGGTACAACGAGGCCGACGTGAAGTTCCCGATCGTGAGCGTCGGCGAGGCGGCATCGCAGGGGAATTGGTTCCTGTTCGGGCCAGGCTGCCAAGCGATGCTCCCAGGGACGATGGCGAGCGAGCTGCGGCAGGCAGCACGGCAATCAGAGGCTGTTCAGCTGGAGATGCATCGGGGGGTGTACTGGCTCCCGTGCGCGGCACCGGGAGCAGACAAGCACGAGACACCACTCTGCGCGACGCGAGCCGCGGCGGTGGTCGAGACCGCTCCGACGATGTCTTCCAGTAGCGCGGCTGGCCCCTCGGACGCGGGTGGCCCCGCTCCGATGGCCGAGGAGCCGGCGGCGACGCCAGCGTTACGACGAATTCCCGGTTCTTTTCCGACAGCTGTGAGCTCGGGCGCGGGCAGCCCCGCCCCAGCGCAGCTGGAGGAGAGCGAGGCGTCGCGCGTCGCGATCAGCAAGCGCCTCCCTCCCACGGTGAGCCGCCAGGAGTTCGACGAGCACCAGCTGACGCACTTGCCTTTCCGCTCGTGGTGCGACCACTGCGTGCGAGGCAAGGCAAGTGACGATGCCCACCGGGCGAGGAACGAAGCAGAGAAGGGGGCGCCCAGATGGTCCATGGACTATTTCTTCCTGGCCAGGGCGGGCGATCCCCAGCAGGCGAAGCCGGTGCTCTGCTGCCTTGACTCTCTTAGCGGCGCGGTCTTCGCTGCGATGGTGCACAAGGGTGGCGACCGCTACGCGCTCGCCGTCAACCAAGAGGCCCTGAGGTTCACGGGCAGGACGAGCATCATCATTCTGAGCGACCAGGAGAATGCAGTGAAGAAGCTGGTCAACCTTGTGCGCGAGGAGCGTGTCCATGACACCGTCGTGCTCAACGCGCCGAAGGGGTCGAGTGTCAGCGCGGGCGGCATCGAGCGTGCCAACTACGAGGTCGAAAAGCAGGTGCGGACGATGAGGTCCAGGATCGAACAGGTGTACGGCATCAAGGTGGACCTCGACCACAAGCTCCTCCCCTTCCTCGTCCGTCATGCCGCGTGGCTGATCACGCACTACCAGGTGAAGGTCGACGGCAAGACGCCGTACGAGCGGCTGCGCGGACGGCCATGCAAGGGCCAGATCGCCGAGTTCGGTGAGGTGGTGCATTGCAGGGACCCCCAGAAGGCCGCCGACATGCCCAAGCTCGATGACAGATGGCGGCTGGGCGTGTGGCTCGGCAAGAGCCTGGCGAGCGACGAGCACTACGTCGGCAGTGCGGCCGGCGTGCAGAGGTGCAGGTCGATCTGGAGGCGGCCGGAGCCGAGCCGCTGGGACAAGAAGCTGCTGGAGGCCATGGCTGGAGAGCCATGGGACCCGAAGGCGGGGGTCAGCCTGGAGAAGGCACCGATGCCGAGGGGAGTGTACATTACCCTGGACCGCCAGATTAAGTACGGCGGGACGAAGGGCTGCCCCGCGTGCTTCGGAGACGCCAAGATCCATTCAGCAGAGTGCCGTGCCAGGTTCCAGGACCTCGTGGACCGGGACGCGGCGGCTCGTGCGCAGCCAGCGGGAAGCACCGCGGCGGCCGAGTCGGCCCCTTCTGCGCCACAGCCAGGAGGAGCAGCACCAGGGGGAGGAGCAGCACCAGGAGGAGGAGCATCGCCAGGAGGAGGAGCATCGCCAGGAGGAGGAGCAGCACCAGGAGGAGGAGCATCGCCAGGAGGAGGGGCAGCAGCAGGAGGAGCAGCATCAGGAGGAGCATCACGATCAAGCGGGGCCCGGCCAGCGGGCAGCACCGCGGCCGGGATGGAGGTCAGCGCAGCAAGGGGTGACGGGCGGCTCGCGCTGGGAGCGGGTAGGCCCGCCGTGGCTGAGCCGCAGGACGAGCCCATGGGCGAGGTAGCGGAAGATTTGCCTGGGGCTCGGAAGCGCCAGAAGATCCTGGCGGGTCTCCCAACGCTGCACGACCAGGGGCCGCAGGCAGAGGAGATGCTTGAGACGCTTCCTCTGCTGGCAGCGCTGCCCGACGACGCAGAGTGGCAGGAGCAGCTCTTGGACTGGGGGCGCGATTACTATGGCACTAAGAGCGGGAAGCTGCTGAACAAGCAGAAGGTCTATGAGGGCAGGCGCCGAGAGCTGGACAACATGCAGCGCCTGGAGGTCAAGGAGCCCATCCTGCTGTCGGAGGCGCGTGCTCAGGGCTTGGAGGTCGTCTACTCCAAGTGGCTGGACGACGAGAAGGCCACGCCGGAGGACCCTGACGCAGTCAGATCACGGCTGGTGGCCACACAGGTCAACACCTACGGCAGGGAGGACGTGACCCAGGCGACGCCGCCGATCATGACCACTAGGCTTTTGGTCAGCATGGCGGCGACGAAGACGAATGCGAGAGGAGAGCACGACTGGCTGATCGGCCGGCATGACATCAGGGTGGCGTTCTTCCATGCAGCTGGCTCGGGGCGAGTGGTCATCGTACCACCTCGAGGGCTCGCGCCGCCGGGTGTTGCTTGGAGGGCCCTGAAGGCATGGTACGGCACGCGCGAGGCCAGCAAGTGCTGGGGGAACGAGGTCACGGACACCATGCAACGCGAGGGGGCCAAGCAGGTAATGGTGGTCCCAATGATGTTCTTCTCAGACTCCTTCGACTACGTGACGAACTGCCATGGCGACGACTTCCTTTCAGCAGGGACGGCGGCGGCACTCGACGAGGTGGATCGGATCCTGGACGAGCACTTCGACACGAAGAGGCTGCCGCGCATAGGACCGCCAGCTCACGGCGGCGAAGCAGCCGAGGGGCAGCATCTTGGACGCATTATCCGGTGGACGCCGAGTGGTTTCGAGTATGAGGCGAACCCCAAGCACGCCGAGGACTTGTGCCGCCTGGCGGGACTGCAACCGGCATCGAAGGGGGCACCGACGCCAGCGACCAAGAGCACGGCGAAGGGCCGGCGCGACCAGGACGACGAGCTGAGCGACGAGGAGGTTAAGACGAGCTTCAGGCAGGGTGCAGGGACCGCACTGTATATGTCCATCGACCGGCCGACCATACAGTTTGCCACGTCGCAGGTGATGGCCGGCATGAGCAAGTCGAAGGTCGTCAATCAGCTGCAGTTGCACAGGCTGGCGAGGTACGTCAAGCAGTACCCCAGGGAGGTGTGGCTGTTCGCGTACCAGAGCGCGCCCGATGGTCTCTATGTGTACACGGACACCGACTGGGCGGCCGACGAGCTAACGAGGTGTTCCAAGTCGTGCACGGTGGAGCGGTACGGCGACCACATGCTGGACTGCAGCGTGGCCAAGCAGTCCACGATAGCGCTCTCTAGCGGCGAGGCGGAGTTCTACGGCATCGTGCGCGCAGTGGCCATTGGGAAGATGACCAGCCAGGTGCTGCAGGTTATCGGCATGCCGTACAAACTCACGGTTGGCTCGGACAGCTCCGCGGCGAGAGGGATCTGTTCCCGTTCAGGCGTGGGGAAGGTCCGTCATCTCCACATGAAGGAGCTCTGGGTGCAGGAGGCCCTCCGCAAGAAGGAGTTCCAGTTGGCAGTGGTGGACACGTTGCTGAATTGGGGCGACATCGGCACTAAGGCGCATGCGGCGGAGAGGTTGGAATCGCTTGTGAAGCAGATGCCGCTGCGGAGAGAGGGGCCGGTGGCAGTGGCTTTGCTGGCAACGCGATCGTGAAGCTGCTCGTCAGGGTGGCCAGGCACCCGGCCACGGAGGGGCAGCCACAGTTCCGGGAAACCCTCGCGACGGTTGCGGGTAGCACCGCACGGTGCGGGGAGGTGAAGGTAAGGGCTTCTCTGGGTGCGGGTGGCACCGCCCCAATGGAGGTGGAGACCCATAGGGCTGGTGATGCGGGTAGCCCCGCTCCCGGCAAGGTTAAAGTTCGATCAGTGGATGCGGGTAGCTCCGCTCCCTAATACCAAGCAGTATCCTCGCCAGACGCGTGGGACACGCGGCGAGACGTGAGCCTACCTGTGCAAAGCGCGCTGCGCAGCGTGGCGGGCAGCTGAGTGCCCAGTGAATGCAATGAGAGAGGACAGACTCCCCGGGAGGCGGGAGGCAGGCGACGCGCGCTGAGACATGGCGCCGTCTTGGCTGTACAGCCCCACAGCATCCCCACAGATCGCCTGGCTCGAAGAGCTGGCGGCGACGGAGGGGTGTCGGGATGCATAGCGTGTTTGTGCATAGTACGCGTGCGTGTTGTAGGGGGGGCAGTACTTGTTGCCCCCATGTCTGTTGCAGCATGCGCTTCTTCGTAAACATTTTGGCTCAAGGAGCCCCTCTCTCAGCGCAGGGAAAATAATCCTTCGCGACATTTGGGCCCCTTTTCTTCCGTTTTTTGATTTGCGTTCGCGCCGCTTTCGGTCCGGTTCCGTGTTGTACTGCCGTTCTCCCCAAGCAGTGCGTGCACTTAGGGGTTCTTTCCTGCTTGTCTAAGGAAACTAGGCTGGGGTGTTTGTCTGGCTATGTTCTCGCCGTCGCCACCCCGTCGCCGCCCGTCGTCTGGGCCTGGGTGTCGGTCTGGCGGTTATGTTCTCGCCGTTGCCGCGCCGTCAACGTCGCCGCCCCGTCGCCGCGTCGTCGCCGCCCGCTTCCTCGTCGCTGCATTGCTTTGCATTGCTTTGCATTGCTTGGCATTGCTTGGCATTGCTTGGCATTGCTTGGCATTGGCCTTGCTTTGTATGGCTTTGCAGTGTTTCGCATTGCTTTGCGTTGCTTTGCGTTGCCTTGCGTTGCTTTGAAGTACATTACATTGATTGAACTGCTTTCTTCGCGTTGCTTTGCACTGGCTTATATTGAGTTGCATGGCTTCGCATCGCTTTGTTCTACGCGTTATTCTTGGGCAGTTCTTGCACTCAGGGGGTCTTACTTGCCTAAAGGAACTGAGCCCGTGTGGCGGTCTGGCGGCTACGTCGCCGTCGCCGCCCCGTCGCCGCGTCGTCGCCGCCTGTCGTCTGGGCCTGTTTTGCGGTCTGGCGGCTATGTCGTCGCCGTCATCGCCCCGTCGCCGCCTCGTCGCCGGCCCTTGTCTGGGCAAGCGCGTCGGGTCCGCTGCCTTGGGTGTTGTCGTCGCCGCCCCGCCGCCGCGTCGCATAGATTTCGCCCCGCATAACTTGCACCGCGTAGATTCCATTCTCTACAGAATTTAAGATCTCCCCCCCCCTCGCTGGGACTATTCCCCCTCCCCGGGGTAGTACAATTTACATTTGATTCTGTCCCGTCGTTCCTTCCAGATTTGAATTCGTACCATCCCTGCCCAGCCAGTACCGCCCCCCCTCATCCTCGTAAAAAGCACTACGAGCGCACACTCGTTTACCACAAGTCATCAGTTTTCAAATGTCTCCTGCAAAAAACACAGTGCAAGCATGCGTCGTTACGCGCGCATGCTGTTTTTTCTTCAAACACCTTGGGTTCCGTAAGGATTTCAAGGCCGAGGTTCCCGACAACATATAAACACCTAATGCCATAAAGGGCCCGATTCGGTTCGGTTCGGTTAGGTTCCGAAGTGCGTCCGGTTCGGTTCGGTTCGGTTCGGTGTCGGAATTCTCCGGTTCGGTTCGGTTCGGTTTTTCGTTGTGAGGGGTGCCGTCCGGTTCGGCCCGGTTCGCCATGCGTTTCGCTCCGGTTCCGCCCGGTTCGCCACGGAGAAGGTGGGTTCGCCACGGAGCAGTCCCGGAGGCGATTCTGCAAGTCAACGAGGCGTTTTTGCAAGTCCCCCACGCCACTTTGCAAATCCCAGGGGCGATTTTGCAAGTCTCGGAAGCCATTTTGCAAGTCCCCGACGGCTTTTTTGCAAGTACCGGAAGTCCCCAGAGGCCTTTTGCAAATCATTTGCAAAAGGCCTCCGGGGACTTGCAAAATCAGGGCCCCAGGGGGCCTCCGGGGATTTGCAGAATTGGGGCCCGGGGGGGCACCTCCGGTTCATGGCAGTTTTATGGGGTTCGGCCCAGTTCGGTTCAAAATCGATTTCGGTTCGGTTCGGTTCAAAATTGGGTTTCGTTCGGTTCCGGTTCGGTTCGGTTCCTGTTGTTCAAAAGTGCGGTTCGCGCCAGTTCGGTCCGGCCTGGTTCGGTTCGGTTCGGCCGGTTCGGTTCGGTTCTTGAATGCTTTGGCAACGTGCTCTTTCAACACACTCTCGCGGGGACGCTTTTGCGACTTCTTATGAACACATGCTCTGTTGTTTGAACACCTCTCATCACATTCGACCGAGCGAGCCTCTCGCGAGTGCATGTCGAAATCATTCGAACGCCCCTGCGCGCTTGCTGGGGGCACGACTTCCGTTCAAAAATGGGGCAAAGTCCACACGCTCGCGTCGTTTCGCGCGCATACTGGATTTCTGCAAAAACCGTCGGTTCCGTTGGGATTTCACGATCGAGGTTCCCGAAAACATATTGTTTCGAACGAGTCTTCGCGCGCGCTCTCGCGAGTCCGTTCGAAAACCGTGATTTCTCAACATGTTTCATCAAATGCGACCCAGCGGGCCTCTCGCGCGCGCATGCTCGAATCATTCAAGCGTCTTTGCGCGCTTGCTGGGGGCGGTCCTTTCGCGCGCGTCGGCCGCGCGCGCATTTCGAAATCCTTCGAAAGCCTTCATCGCCGACGCTGTGGACACCATCGTCGTCATCGGAGTGATGAGCATCGTTTCCGTCATCGGCCTTGCCGCCGTCATCGCCATTCGTCGTTGCTGCTATCATCGTCGTGTCTGCCGTCGGCGACGTTGGAGCGAGGTGCCCGCGCGTCCGCGCGGCCTCCGAGAGACGCGCTGGGAAGCCCCCGGCGGTCAGCACCGCCGCGGCCGCGGCGGTCGCGCTAGACTGGCCGGCCGCTCTGCGCGCGAGCCCGCGTGCGCCAGCGCGGCCGCAGCGATGCGCCAGCCGGCGGCAAGCAGTCCGCCGGCTAACCTTTTTTGTGCTTTTTTTTGGCTGCCGTTTTTTTTCTTTCTGGTTCCCCGAGGTCTGGACAATTGCACACGGGGAAAAACTAGCGTCTCTCACAGCATGTCATCGCTCGCGCCACATTTGACATTTTACCCTTCCCACCCATCCCGTCCCACAGCGCTCTTTTATTCCCCCCTGATGGCGTTCCGATAGGGAGTGCTGCTATTGTTTAAAAAGGACCACAGGAGTCCCACAGGGGGGACGGGGAACCCGAGACTGCCCCCCGAGACCGCCCAGTCGGGCAGCCGTTTCGCTCGAAGAATCCCTACAATTTATTCAGGAAGCGCTCATTCGCCCCGATGTAAGCTACGTTTTTTGGTCCGGACTGCCTTGTATCAAGTGCACGAGGTGCGCATGACCGTGCTCTCACCCATGTCTTGGCTTCTTTTTCCCCAGGGGTCTTTTTAGGAATACAACGGATTCGCTATCGGACCTCCCACTCCTGAGCCCGCCTGTTTACACTTGCTGTTGTTCGGGAGCTTTGCTGCTTTGAATCTATGATATAAACAAATAGCTCCGACCCAGTGCGCCCTCCACCTCGATGACATCTTGGGCACATCCCCGGTGCCGCCCTCCCGGGCCTTCCACGGAGCCCCAGGAGGGCTTCGAGGCGGCCCGAGACGGTTCCGAGACAACCCACAATTGTTCTGAGACGGTTCACGGCAGCCACCTGACGGTTACGAGACCACCACGAACGCCCAAGAGAGTGCCAAGATGCATCCAAGGGGCCCCCAGCACCGCCCAAGAGAGGCCCAGTCGTGCGGCAATCGTTTAGGGGGCGATGGGGGATGGGGGAGGGCGATGACGGGATCGGGCGGGGGATGGGGGCGATGGCGGGACAGGAAACGGGACGGGGAAGCGGATGAGGACGCTGATTCGGAAGCACCTTGTGTTCAAAGAGGCAGCGGGACCCCCTGCTCGGGCAGCGAAAGGCTCGTTCCTCCTTCTCGTCGTCCTCTTTGTCCAGCTCGTCCTCCTCCTTCCTCTTTCTCGCCCTCGTCTCTCTCCTCCTCTTCCTCTGTGTCGGCCTTTCCTCATGTTTGTCGTTGCGTTCTCCAGCTGAGGCCAGTGCCGCCTGCCCGAAGAAGTCTACGAGGAGGTCGAGCACCTCGGTTCGGGCGCCTTCGGCTCTGCGGAGCTGGTGCGGAGGACGGAACCCCCTGGAAGGGCAGGGGGGCGGGAAAAGGCTGACGAGGAGGAGGAGGAGGGGCAGGAGGGGGATGAAACGAGGTGGAGGAGGATGCGTGTGAGGGGGGGGGTCGCAACTCGTGGAGAGGGGAGGGGGGGGAGGAGAGGGGAAGAGGGGGGTGGAGGATGGGGATGAGAGGGGAAAAGGAGCGGGAGGCTGGACGGGCGGAAGGATGCATGAGGGATGGATAGGGAGAGGGGCGACAACGGAAAATGACCCCGTGACACCCACCAATGCAACCCTCCTCCTGCCCCCCTCCTGCCCCCCTCCTGCCCTCCGTCTTCTCGCCCTCCTCCCTCCGCCCGACCCCCCTTCGCCCCTCCCACCCCCTCCTACCCCCTCTCTCCCCCCCGCCCCCTCCCGCCCGCCAACTTTTTTGAAGCAGGCGTGTACGAAATTCGATTCCAGCAGCTGTGGAGACGCGGCGAACAGAGGAGGAAGCACGGGCTTCGATCGATGTGCAGGAGCATGTGATGATGTCAGATGTCCGGGGCGCAGGAGGGAGCGAAGCCGCCAACCCGAGGGCAGGCTCTGGCCTGTGCCGCGGGCGCGAGGCCGGGTGCGTCCCAAGTCTGCCTCCGAACGCGGCCAGGACTCGCCGCTGCGACAAGCATCAGGAGGAAAAGAAACACACAGACACAACGAATCGTCGATCCCCCAGAAGATATGGGAAACTATGGAAAGTGGGTGGACGACAAAAACCCAGAAAATATGGGAACATCTGGGGAACATTCTTATTTGTGTGTATTTATTCGTTTTTTTTTTTTTTTTTTTTGTTATTTTAAAATCAAAGTAACTGTTGCGGGTGCGCGTGGGGCGAAGCCGCGCGACGGCGTCGACTTCTCTGCCAGGGCCAGCGCGGGTAACGGGGCGTCGCCGTCCAACGGCGGCCCGCCGCGCCTGTGCCGCGGGCCTGCCCCGTGGGTCGGCCCGCGGGCTGTCCCGTGGTTGTCCTCGGGTGGTCCTCTGGTCGTCCCGCGGGCCGTCCCGTGGGCTGCCCCGTGGGTTTTCCTTCTGCTGTGTGCCAATCGGGGCGCACGTCGTGTTCGGATCGGCATGCCAAGCAGTCCGCCAATCCACGTGCAAAGCAGGTGGCAAATCCAGGGGATGCTCGACAGTCCAAGTCGTAATGTACATGCAGTGCGTATTGCAATCCGAGCTGCGCTTCTCTCTGTGGTCGCAAAGGTCCAAATATGCGGGCCAAATCGCCAAGGAAGCCCCAACACGGCCCTAAGACGGTACCATGATGCCGATGAGCCCCAGGTGCCTCAAGATTGCCCAGAAATTGCCCAAGATGGTCCGAAGATGGCCCAGAGGCCCCAAGATGCCCCCGAGACCCGAAGATGGTCCAAACAATTGTCCAATGGCAAATAACGCCGCGATATAGCTCAGCATGAGGACCAGCGGCAGAGGGCGCAGTCTTTCAGATGATCAAGAAGGATGATAAAGAAGGTGGGTTGCTGAGAAACTTGCAGTTCGATGAGCATGTCGATTTCAACGTCGGTTTGAATTTCATGTTCGGTTGGAGCTGCGTGACGATATGCACGCCGACTTGCGCTTCAATTGCAGCTGGAGTTATACTTCGCCTTGTCTGTCGACGTTCATGCCAATGTAAGTTCATCAAACTGCCTTTCGATAAACATGTAGAGTGACAGGCACTGAGTTCGCATGCCAGATTTCACTGTGAACGCAGGTCAATGTGGTACAAACTTGGATATTGATTCACATTTCGAATCACAGCTCGATGCTCACTTCGAGTTGCAATTCGGCATGCGTTTCGATGGTCATGCCGATTGCAGGTCACAGTGCGCGTCGGTTAAAGCATGCCCGTTCCGTCACTCCCATCCTCGAATTAATCCAACGCATCCGAGAAGGCGGGGGACAACACGGCGGCCCTGTACATTGCGGCTTGGGCGGCACACTGAAGACTGCGCGCTTGAATCGGAAATCCCCATTCTTTGAGGTTCTGCAAAACACCTTGCGAGAGGCCATTGTTAGGAGCATTAGTGATCGCCTGCAGGGCGTTGCGGGAGGATTGAACGGCACCCTTGGTGGGGGCATAGAATTTGACAATGTGCTCGTGGCATGGAAGTGGAATCCTGTTTGGCTTTCCACGTTTATATTATGCCGTTATTCAGAACTATCGTTCCCTGTCCGCCATCCCGTCCATCCCTGCTTTCGGCACCAAGATGCTGCAGAGTGAAACTGAGTGTGACCTCCGTGCCCTCTCATTTGTTGCTCTTAAGACCACCCTTCAGGAAAGGCTTAAGAAGTTTGGCTCTGTACCCGCACCTCATCAACTCGACTTGATGTATGTTGCACTCAACAGGTTGTGCAAACATGCCCCGACGTGCGTGGTCACCTCTGTTGTCCGCACTTGCTGTAGCTCTTGGTGCACCACTCGTCGCTTTCGAGGGGCCACAGAAGATTGCCGATTGTGTGGCCTGGCTGGCAGTGAAAGTCTTCTCCATGCGCTTGTTTGTCCCTGCTTCGTCCCGCTCCGTCTTCTGCTTCCGTCCCTGCCCCCGTCCTTCGCTCCCGCCCCTGCTTTCTCTCGCGCCTCATTGTTCCCGTTGCTCCCGCTCGGTCCTCCTGCTCTCATCAGTGTCGCTCTCTCTCTCTCTCTCTCCCTCTCTCTCTATATATATATATATCTTGATCTGTTTTGCTCCGCATACCACGAATTGAAGTGGTGGCCGAATGTTTCGCCCGCGAGAGAGTTAACCCGCGTTCGTGGCCTTGGTCGTGCCCGTCTCCTACAGCTGCGGAGGCGCGCCCCGCCCGCCACCGACGAGGCGCTGCGAGGATGACTGGTCGTCCAGCCTCCTCCTCCTCCACCTCCTCTTCGTCCTCCACCTCCTCCTCCTCTTCCCCTTCCCCGCCCCTGTGTCTCCTTGCTCTCCCCGCCCCAGCCGAGCCCCGCCCCCCCCCCGGAGGAGGCGCGACGGGCGCCGCCTGGTGGCGAAGAAGTGCTGCATCCGGGACCTCGACGAGAAGCAGCGGGCGTTGTGCCTTCAGGAGGGTGGCGCTGCCCCCCCCGCCGCCTCTTTCTCCTCCTCCTCCTCCCCTCCTCCTCCTCTCCTCCTCCCCCCTCCCTCCTCCTCCTCCTATCCCCTCCTCCTCCTTCCTCCCCGTCCTCCCCCTCTCTCCTCCTCCTTCCTTCCTCCTTCCTCCTCCCTCCTCCTCCTCCTCCTCCTCCTCCTCCTCCTCCTCCTCCCTCCCCGCTCGGGCTGCGGCCCCCCCCCCCCCGTGCCCCTGCGGCTCCGCTCATTGGCCGAGCCCCGTCTGAGGTGGGCCAGCCCCCGTCTTCAGGTGCGATCGGGACGGGCGCGGAATGAGTGGGCGCGAGGGCCGGCGTCGTCTCCTGTTGGGTTTAGGGCAGGGCTTGCTGTCGGTGTCGCCGCGGACGTTGCCCGTTTGAGACAAAAGGCCGCCTGCCCGACAGCTTCGGCGGTCGGTTTTGGACAGCGTTTGTTGTGGGGCATCGTGCGCATTTTTCCGTATCGTTTCCCGAATTGCTTTTGCTTGATCAGTTGCTGTGCGTTCCATGCCATTTCGCTGCTCGACCTGGGTGGCCGCCGCGCAGGGACCCCCCGCGCTGCGGGCGGGGGAGAAGATTGGCATCGCCCAGGCATCGTGATAGTTGTGTTAAATCGGGCACGTCCGTCAACAGGAGAGTTATGCAAAAATAACCAAAGACATTCAGGGGACGATTCAATGACCTTGGCACATAATATTTATTTACATATATGTATATGTATGTATGTATGTATGTATGTATGTATGTATGTATGTATGTACGTATGTATGTATGTATGTATGTATGTATGTATGTATGTATGTACGTATGTATGTATGTATGTATATATACACAATTATAGTTTATATGTATGTATGTATGTATGTATGTATGTATGTATGTATGTATGTATGTATGTATGTATGTATTTATGTATGTATATCGGTAAACATATACTTGTGTGTGTATAGATACATATGAAATTGTCGTCGCCCAAAATCTGTCTGTAGGGGGACATGCCCGACCTGATACTCGTGTGCGATGATGCGCGTCGGCACCCATGGGCGAGGCGCACGCGCAGAAGTGTCAAAGCGAAAGTCGCCTCCGCGGCGAGCGGCCTCTGGCCGTACCCATGGGGAACGTGTATATTTTGTACGCTTGTTGTCATATCAGTAGCGTGTTGGGCGTGCGCAACCTAAAATTACGTCGGGCCTGTCCCTCTACGGGAGGAATATTCCAAATTAGTCCAATAATAGTCGGGGGGCGATTTTTAGACTATTTTTGAATATTTTGGGAACGCATCATAGTCGTATGCCCTTTTGCGCCCCAGAGGAAGATGAGGATCGTGCAGAAGAGGAGGGGGAGGAGGAGGCTTAGGAATGCTGCGAGCTCAGACCTCGAGTCCGCCCAACACAAAAAGGATGATGATGACGACGACGATGATCATGATCGTGATGATTATGCTGATGATACTGATGATGATGTTGATGCTGCTGATGATGATGTAGCTGATGATGGTGATGGTGATGGTGGTGGTGATGGTTGTGGTGGTGGTGATGAGGATGCGGAGGAGGGAAGAGGATGATGATGATGACGATGATGAGGAGGCCTAGGAACGCTGCGTGCTCAAACCTTGAAGCCCGTTCAATGCAAGACGCTGGCGATGATGATGGTAATGATGATGATGATGATGCTGATGATGATGATGATGATGCTGATGATCATGATGATGATGATGATAATGCGGATGATGTTGATGATGATGACGATGATGGTGATGATGCCGATGGTGATGACGATGATGATGATGAGCATGATGATGCTGCTGATGACGATGATGCTGCGGATAAAGATGACGATGATGATGATTATGACGATGACGATGATGACGTTGATGATGACGTTGATGCCGATGACGATGATGATGATGGTGGTGATGATGTTGATGGTGTTCATGATGATGCTGATTATGATAATAATGATAATGAGGATGAGGATGATGACTGTGATGATGATGATGATAATTATGACGATGTTGCTGATGATGATGATGCTTCCGCTGATGCTGCTGCTGATAAGGATGCTGGTGACGACGATGATGCGGCTGCTGCTGATGATGCTGATTATGATGACGACGCTTATGCTAATGATGACGAGGATGATGATGATGATGATGCTGATGATGATGATGATGACGATGCTGATGATGATGCTGGTGATGAAGATGCTGCCGATGATGCTGATTTATGATTCTGATCATGATGATGGCGATGCTGTTGCTGATGCTGCTGCTGATGATGCTGATGATGATGATGCTGATGATGATGATGATGATGATGATGCTGATGCTGATGCTGATGCTGATGATGAGGATGGTGGTGGTGGTGATGATGATGATGAGGATGAGGATGAGGATGATGATGATGATGTTGATGTTGATGCTGATGATGATGCTGATGATGATGATGATGAGGATGATGATGCTGATGATGATTATGAGGATGATGATGTTGCTGCTGCTGCTGCTGATGATGATGATGATGATGGGTGTGTTGGTGGTGGTGATGGATGATGATGATGATGATGAGATGATGATGATGATGATGATGATGATGATGATGATGATGATGATGATGACGTTGATGCCGATGACGATGATGATGATGATTGATGATGATGATGATGATGATGATGATGAATGATGATGGGTGATGATGATTTTGTTGTTGTTGATGCTGATGATGATGCTGCTGCTGATGATGATGATGATGATGATGATGATGATGATGATGAGGAGGAGGAGAGGAGGAGGAGGAGATGAGGAGGATGATGAGGAGGAGGAGGAGGAGGACGAGGATGAGGAGGAGGAGGAGGAGGAGGAGGAGGAGGAGGAGGAGGAGGAGACAGAGGAGGCAGAGGACGGGACCTGTCGTTGAGCCCTCAGCCTTCAGCGAGCCCGCCGCCGCTGGCCCACTGCACTCGCGAGGCCGCGTGCGGGCAGTTTTGGTCCAGGAAGCGCTCGGGGCGGTGGCGCGAAGCGCCCCTCCCGCCAACCACTGGCACAGCTCTCCTTTTATGGGCGCAAGCAGAGGGGGAGGAGCATAGAGAAGGAGCAAGCAGAGGGAGGGGAGGAGGGAGGGAAGGGAAGGGAGCATAGAGAAGAGAGAGAGAGGAAGGGCGCAAGCAGAGGGAAGGGAGCATAGAGAGAGAGAGAGAGAGAGAGAGAGAGAGGAAGGAAGGTGGGCTCGGGGAGGGAGACTGCGCAGCCGCGGCATGGATCAGCGCGCTTCCGGGGCAGACGCGGGAGGGACGGACGTTGGGGCCGCTCGTACGTGCATGGGGACTGTATCGAATTGCCGTTCACTGCTTTCTGGGCAGAAGCAGTAGCCCAGATCTCGTAATAAAAGGGAGGGGGTCTGGACCCTCCAAGACAAGCCATTTCAGACCCCCCCCGTGGGAGAACCCTCCAAAACATCGTCCCCAGACCCCCCCAGGCCCTCCAAGATAGCCTGGAAGAGACCCCCCCCGAAATGAGACCCCCCTCCCTTTATTACGAAATCTGGAGTAGCCCTTGACTAAGCATCAGGGGAGTCGGTAATTCTTCTGGTGCTGTGTAGCTGACAGCCCAAGACGGAAGCCTACAGAAAGAGGGGGGAAGAGAAGTGGAGGAAGGAGGGAGGGGGGGGGCGGAGGGCAGAGGATGGAAGGATGGGAGGGTGGGCGTGGATGCGAGGTGCAATGGAAAGCCCAGTGGTCCCCAGGACGGCCGACGCGGTCGGAGGCCTCATCTTCATTTGAAGTCTGATCCACGCGTCGGGATTCTCAGGCCTTCGTGCTGCCAGCGAGTCGTGGCAATGAGGGAACGGAAGAGGGACGGGGAGCAGAAATGGGAGGGTCAGGGAGGGCCAGGGAGGACGGGGAGGGAAAGGCATGGGCTGGAGTCAGCAGGGGCATTGTGGGCCCTTCTCCCCTCCGCCGCCCCCGCCCCCCCCTCCCCCGTGCCCCCCTCCCGCCCCTCCTCAGCCTTCCTCCTGCCGCCCCCCCTCGCTGCTCTCCTGTCTCCTCGACTCCTCCCCCCGCCTTCACCGCCGTTCCCCCCCGCGGCCCCTCCGCAGGAGCTCTCCCTGCTGCGGAAGGTGCGGCACCCGTGCATCGCCGAGGCCAGTGGCCCCGCGCCGCGCGAAGTGCTGCGGCGGCGCCGCCGCCGCCCCCCCTCCCCCCAGCGCCACCTAGTGATGTCCAGTGCGTACGGGTGCCTCGATGCTCATAGTCGCTGCTCCCCCTGGAGTCGAAGAACGAAAAACGGCTCATATAGATTCTTTTGGCGCTTCGCGTGCCCCGACCAGCCCATCCAGAAACGATCGCCAGGCGATTTGCTTTCATCAGGGAAGGGAATAGTCATGCAGTGGAACAGCCGCCTTAGAAACATGATGGGGGCGCAGAAACGGCGGCCCATGCCACGGCGGTTTCATTGGGTTCTTCTGGAGGCCCTCTTGGAGTTATCTTGGGACAATTTCTGGGCCTGGAGGTCGCTATCTTGGTCAATCGGATCAGCATGGGGAACAGCAAACGGGATGAAGAGCAGGAGAGAAAGAAGAATATGAAGAACCAGTAGAAGGACGGAGGAGGCAGGAGTTTACGATGATGAAGGCGACGACGATAACGACGAGCTAACCATAAAGCCTTCGTGGGCCTTTCGATCCGCGAGAGGGGGAAGGGAGGAATGAAGGCAGGAGCAGGCTTGAGGAGGAGGAGGGAGAAGGAGGCAGGAAGGAAGGAGTTAATGAACGGACGAGGACAATGAGGATGAGGAGTCGGCCTTTGCGAATCATTTGTTGCAAGAGATTCTTGGCGGACTCTTGGGGCCATCATGGGGCCTTCTTGGGGTCCTAGTGGGGCCTCTTGGGGCACTCTTTGGGCCCTCTTAGGGCTCTGTTGTGGGGTCTCGAAGCCCTCTCGGGGCTGTTTTGGGGCGTCCCGGAGGCCTCGTGGAGCAATGTTGGGCCCCATAGTTTGAAAAGAGGGATGTCCTCAATTCAGGCCCCGTCTTCCTGGGAGCTGGAGGGGCCATCAATAGCAGTGGAGTGGTAATTTTGGTACCAATGGGTTGGGCTTCTGGCGTATCGTCATTTACAACCGGCGGCGATCGTCTCTGTTGGCCGGACGTCCACTTGGAACACTTGACCCTCTGGCTTGTCTCTGCGTGTATGCCAGATTCGACGTATCCAATTCCAAATGTTGAGGCAGTGAACGCAAAGTTAGAGCGGTCACGGCGGCCAGCGAGACTGCGGGGCCATCTTCTTGTAGCAGGAGGCGACTGGAACGCAATCTTGGGCACTGTCGGCGATTCGTCGACAACCAGTTTGTTGGCGAGCATGGGATGGGAGAGCGGAGCGAACGAGCAGACTCGTTGGCAGCATTTCTATTAGAGAACATGGTACCAGCTGGAAATGCATATTATCCTTTATAAGACAGCAGTAAATTGACCCAGAGAAATGGCGTTCACAGGCGCCAGTTCGACTTCTTCTGCGTTTGCTGCTGCTGGGCGAAAGACACGATGACGTTTTCAGGTGCAACAGATGCGATAGGAGTTGGGGCAGACCGTAGAGCTGTCATATTGTGCTTGAAGATGCAGTCGGAGCAGGAAGCGGCCGCCGCAACGCGCGGGTGGCGAGACCAAGCAGGCCTAAACTGCATCCGCAAGACGATTAAGCTTCAAGCGTTGGATACGCCATACGACCATACACTAACATGCAATCAAAGGAGGGGGGGCGACCACGCGCAGCAGCAGTGTATTTGGAGTTGGAGGAATGTCTGAACACATCTGTGAGACAGGAATGGGGGGAGAGCGGACACACCGAAACAGGACAAGGCAATCTTGCCGCCGGGTATACACACAGTGATTGATGAAAGACGAGTTGTGCGTAGAGGGGAAAAAGGACACAGACCAACGACAGGTATCTGCAAAGAGTTACAGCGTGCATTTCGGAATTTGGAACGCCGCCGAAACATGGAGCAATCCGATCAGATCCCGAGCGAGTTTCAATCAGACAGGGCGTATCCGAGACAATCACAACAACTTCAAGAACATGCGGCTCACCAACTTTTCATGGCGCCCACATCGCAGAGCGGATTTCGTTCGGAAAACGATCAGGTGGGCCCAGGGTGTCCTGGAAAATTTCGTTCCGGATTTCGAGGTGAATTTCGTGCGTTTTTTTTTTTTTTTTTTTTTTTTTTTTTTTTTTTTTTTTTTTTTTTTTTTTTTTTTTCTTTCTTTTTTCTCAATTTTTTGTTCTTTTCCTTTTTGGCCAGGAATGAAGACCCCCCCAAATCCACGCGAAATTCACTTCGTTTTTCGCTCGCTGTTTCGGGCAGAAATCCACTCAGAAATCTGCTGCAGCACGTCTGCAAGGCTGGTGCAATGACCAACGTGCTTGAAAAAGATGGAAAGGTTCGTTTGGATAGCGGGGCATTGTCGACGTCCTCGCTGGCTTCTGCGGGGGGTTATATACAGCTCGGGAATTGGGCCGGCCGCGGGCAGCGACGCAGACAGACGCCAGGGCGACATGCTGTAGCCACGCGCGGAGGGGGGTGGGGGGAGGGGGGAGGGCTTCTCAGAAACACCCCTGCCTCTTAGATGGCGCGGTCCTTATCCATAGATGTAAGGCCAGCGCCTTCTAAGGAACAGCCTCCTTCTAAGAAGCCTTCCCCCTCCCTCCACCCCTTTGTGCGCGCCGCCAACAGTTGCAGCGGAAGAAATTGGCGATCATGTGCGAACGTGAACAAACGCAAGGCAAGGGACTCGAAAGGGATCGTCGCCAAAATGTTCAAAGTTGGTGGAGAGCACAACAAAAATATTCGCCGATGTGTTCACGACCATCCTTGTCCACGGGGATGGGCCGACAAAGCCGTGGAGACACAATTGCGTGAAGGTTGTTCAAAAAACGGAGACCCGACCCCCCATGGAATTTTCGCCACATCGGAATTCTACCAATTATGTACAAGTTATTTGCTGTGGTTTCCCAACGGACGACTGGCGGCATTCCTGGGTAGACAGCACTCCGCCGACCAAGTGGGATTCCGGAACGGATGCAGCTACGGAGACCACTTGGTGAAGAGGACAACCATTTCCGAGAAAGGCGAAAGGGTATAACATAGATGTCTGGGTTATTGCGTTAGATTTTGACAAGGCGTTTGGTTCCGTTAACCATACTGCAATGTAGAATGCTTTTTGCGGGAGCAAGGAGTCCCGGAACTTTATGTGTGCAAGTGTTTGCGCGCTTGTACACGTGACGAACATGGCAGCTTGTCTCCGAATGCAACAACCGCGTTTTCGTCTTCGGAAAACCCAATAAAAGGATGTCTTATGTTGCCAACGATCTTCAACGAAGTGCTTGAATCTCAGATGCGAAGACTGAAGGACAGGAGGGGCAGCCATATTTGGTTTCAACATGCAGCCGTCGGCGTTCGCAAAGATGCGTTTTCGGATGGCATGCTTGTATTTGGACCCACCCGGGCGAAGGTTAGAAGAACGCTCGAATATTTGAATGAAGCTGCAGCTGAGGTTGGCCTGAATATACTCACCGGGGAAACCAAGTTCATGTCAAACGTGAAGGATCGAGAGGGCGCTTTGCGCCGGCGTCACGTGCGGGTGGGCCAAACATATGTCGAGGTGCTTCCTGTTGAAGACAGCGCGGCGTAGATTGACAGGCAGCCGACATTTGGAGACTACCGCGACGTGGGGACCAGGAGTCGCATTTCGAAACGTTGGGCGGCACTTGGCCGGTTCACGGGGGAACTGTGCAACGTGCGCTATTTGTTGAAGTTCAGGTTCCAGTTTTTCGACGCCGACGTGTCCTCTGCAGTGATTCAGGGCAGCGGTACTTGGACGCTCACCGCGGCGAGACCACAGAAGTTCAATTTGGCCATGCGTGCGGTGCTCGTGAATATCGTTGGCGCGGCCAGGGCGCCGGACGAGTCTGCGTTGATTGCAAGCGAGCAACGTATCGCGTTGAGCAGGAGTACGAGAGGTTTGGATTTGCAAAGTGGCTGCAGGCGCAGGGGGGAGCGCAAAAACAAATTCTCCCAAAAACTGCAGGCGTGCAAAAACTGGCGCCTGGGGGGCCTCGCGCTGGGGCGGGGCCCTCTTGGAGGAAAGTCCACAGGGCGCCTTGCGAAACGATGTGCCGACTCAGTGTCCATGGGCTCTGTCGCATTTTCTGCCGCATCCCTGTCGCATTTCCTGTCGCGTAGATTCCCGTATAATTCTGTGCCGCGTCGGAAAGCTGTCAAGATCAATGGGGTTGTCAGAATCATCAGGGAAGGCGCGTGTGATAACAGTCACAAATCGGCGGCAGCAGCAGACAGGCGTGCGTGGCCGCAAACGCAGCAGCCCGCGCAGGGCGCGCTCAGACGCATGCTGAGACCTTGGCCATGGCCCCATTCGGAAGTCGAACGAGTTCCCTTTGGAATCCTCTTGGGGCGCTCCTTGGTCGCTTGAAGAACGAAGAAGTTCGAAACATGAACATTCGGAGGCCCGCGTGGATTCCTTGGGTCGGTGCTGGGCGCCCCTCGCGGCGCCTCCAGGGCTGCCCCTGGCGCGCCCCTCGCGCCAGGGAGGGGCTTCCAGCGCCGACGAATCCGCGTGGACCTCCGAAAGTGATTCAACATGTTTTTTTTTGTTTATGGAATCGGGGGGGGGAGGGGGTGACGGCGTGATTCGAGAGAGCGAGGGAAGGAGTGGAGTGAGCGGCCAGGGGGTTGTTCGGCAGGGCCCTTTTCCCGACGAGCCCCCTCCCAGCGGGGCGGCGCCGCCCCGTGGCCGCACATTGCTTTTTGATGCTGTTGTTTTTTTTGGTGACGGGCGCCTCATTCTTAAAAGTGCTGCGGTGCCGTTGTTGCGGTGGTTGCGTGTTTATATCAGGTGCGTGCTCATACTGAATTTTGGGGCCATCCAGGCCAGGGTAATCCTCATCTTCGTCTTAACCACGTCATCGAGGCAACGTCCTTCACATCAATGTATATGTGCATGAATACGTATACGTATATGCCACTGCATTGGTATAGACATATGCACTTGTGCTGGTATATGTATATGTATATATATATATATATATATATATATATATATATATAAGTTGTGTGCCAAACGTCTGTTTACGTATATGTTTATGCATGCATGCAAAGTTATGTAGATACATATGTCATTTTGCATGTATATTCTTATGTCTATTTATATTTGTATCTCTATGTCTATGCATCTGCATATGCATATGTGTGTATGTGCATATGTCTACGTCTATGTACATGTATATGTATGTGTACGTGCTTGCATATGCATATGTACTTTTCATTTGTATACGTTTTTTTTGTATATGTATATGCCAATATGTACGTATACGTATACGTGTCCATATTTTTATGTACGCATTTATGTGCACCATGCATTTGCATACGTATATATATACATACATATCCGTGATGGCATACGCATCTGACTCTGTCAATGTAACATGTATTTGTATACGCATATGTCCATGTATAGCCATAGGTCTGTATTTGTACACGTATATATTTAAGTATATTTATGAATACATGCAAGTGTACATGTATATGTATACGTATATGCAATTTCGTATGCTTATGTGCACGTAAATGTATACGTATATGTATATATGTATGCATTTGCATATATGTATTTGAATATGCGTATGTATGTGTGTATGCATATGTATATGTACATGTAAGCATGCATGCATACATCTCTCTCTATATAGATACACACATGTAAATAACTTTTAATCACATATATACATATACATGTATATGTATACATTATGCGTATGTGTAGGTGTATGTGTATGTGCATGTGTACATGCATATGTATATGCATATGTGTATGTGTATGCATGTGTGTGTATATGTGTTTATGTACGTACATATTTATACGTGCGTGTTTACATCCCTTCCTCGTCCCCTTTCTTTTATCCGTCCTTTCCTCCCTCCTCCTCCTCCTCCTCCTTCTCCTCCGCCTCTTCTGACATTGTCATGGCGTCCACCCCATTCCATTCCACTTCATAACACTACACTCCACTTCTCCTCCTCTTTTTCCTCCTCCTCCTCTTCTCCTCCTCTCTCCTCTCTCCTCTCTCTTCTCTCCTCTCTCCTCCTCCCTTTTCCTCCTCCTCCTCTTCCTCCTCCTCCTCTTCCTCCTCCTCTTTCCCCTCGTCCTCTCCTCGTTCTCCTCGTCCTCCCTCCTCCCTCTTCCTCTTTTCCCCCCTCCTTCCTCCTTCCTCCCTCCTTCTACCCTCCAGCCTTTCTCCTTCCTCCTCCTCTTCCTCCTCCTCCTCCTCTTTCTCCTCCTCCTCCTCCTCCTCCTACTCCTCGTCCTAGTCTACCTCCTCCTCCTCTCCTCCTCCTCCTCCTCCTCCTCCTCCTCCTCCTCCTCCTCCTCCTCCTCCTCCTCCTCCTCCTCCCCCCCCTTCCCCCCCCCCCTCAAACCGCAGCAGCCCCCCACGCCGCGGGGCGCTCCCCCCTCCAGGTCATAGACTTCCGCTGGTCGGCGGAGGACAGGCTGGAGTACTGGCTGGTCCTGAAGTACTATCCGCGGGGCCTCCGCCGAGAGGGGCCGCTGGAGACCGTTTCAAAAGGGTCTGGCGAGGACCCGGGCCCAGGGGCCCGCCCGCCCCCCGTCCCCCCCCCCCGGATATAACGTGACCCGGTTGGTTGTGCAGGCCCGCCCGCGCTGCGGCAGCGCACCGCGCTCCCCCTCACTGGGGTCGGCCTTTCGGCGGCTGTGCGGAGCGAGTCCGCCTCCGAGTCCAAGCAGGTCCGACTGGGGTACTCCAGATTTCGTAAGAAAGGGAGGGGGGTCTCATTTCGGGGGGGGGTCTCTTCCAGGCTATCTTGGAGGGCCTGGGGGGTCTGGGGACGATGTTTTGGAGGGTTCTCCCACGGGGGAGGTCTGAAATGGCTTGTCTTGGAGGGTCCAGACCCCCTCCCTTTTATTACGAAATCTGGAGTTCGCAGTACTGGTGCGCGCGGGCATCTGTGGAGCTGCCCCTACGCGAAAAGGCTCGGCTATTTGCCAGCACCTCCATCCTTCCCACCAGGTAACCCGGGGTATCGCCAAGAAATTCGAGACGGTCTCCCACAGGGGGGGATGCATCGACGCCCAATCGCCCATTGATCGCCGATAGGGGCCTGATAGCCAAAACGGTGCGGTGTGGCGAGTCAGTGGGGCTTCGGGGTGATTGGGGCCTTTGAATGTCTCGGGCGAGTGAGCCCCCCGAGGTCCCAACACCATGCGGTGAGGTCTCGCGGGATTTCGTTGTCACCGCACGGGCTGTCTCTGCACCGCGTTGGGACACCCAGGAGGAGGGAGGATGTGGAGGAGGAGGAGAAGGTGGACCAGTGTAAACACAAGTCGCATCAACGATGGTGCGATACACCCCCCCTCCAAGTTCTGCCTTCGTCGGTCCGTACACGAATTCACCTTCACTGCTGAAGTGCCCCGTTGGAAGACAAACTTCTGAGAATCCTCAATCGGGTCAAAACACCACTCCTTTGTTTTCAGCGCCGCGGATAAGCTTGGCTAGCGCGTCCTGACGAACCTGCACCGCGTCTGATGTGTATAACGCTCATGATGATGAGGAGGACGAAGAGGAGGAGGAGGAGGAGGAGGAGGAGGAATAGGGTGATGATGGTGATGATGGTGATATTGGTGATGACGATGCTGATGATGATGCTACTGCTGCTGCTGATGATGCTGCTGCTGATGATGATGATGGTGATGCTTTTGTTGCTGATGATGAGGACAATGATGTTGAGGATGATGATCTTTATTATGCTGCTGA